TGGGAACGGTCCGGGCCGCAGCGGCAAGTAGAGCCAAGTGGCCGGTTTGGTCGCGTTTGGAGCTTCACAGGGGTCTTGAACCGTGTGGCTGTGCTGTCTCGTTTGTCTTGGCTTGGTAGCTCAGCGTTTGTTGCTACGCTTGGGATGCTCGGCCCCCCAAGTCCAGTTGGCGGGGAAGGGGTCCCAACGACTCGAATAGTGCTCCGACATGCTTTGGTATGCAAGGTGCCGCCAGTCAGATCTCCGTAGAACATGTCTGCTGCGTCCGGCTCCTGAGTTGGGCCGCTTTTGGGCCGCTTTTGGAAGTGTGCTGAAGCGAGTCTCAGGCCCTTTTCGGTCTGAAGCAGTTCCGACGTGCTACAGGCGCTCGGCGCTTTTGCCATGCTTTGCTCCCTCTCCACAGCTGTAGGCACGGCCAAAGATGCCGTGAAGACGAAGACGCTGACCACAGCCGCTGCAGGGGGCCCTAGAGTCACATTAGTCACCCTGTCCTGCCCATGGCCATGGACTCCATGCCACGCGGCGCGTCCGACTTCCCGACTTCCGGGTCTCTCCGTGAGGCGCGGAAGAAGAATCCGATCCGAAAAGCCGAGTGGGATTCCAGCATCTTCTCGGGCACTTCGCTTGGTTGAGCCTTTCACTCCAGTTGCTGAAGAGAGCTAACGAAGTACTGAGGCTTCTGCGCCAATGCTTCCAGGCCCACTGTAAGCTAAGCCAGCTAAGCCACCGACCCTCGAGATTTCCCCCCCCCCCCCCTCATTCCGGATTGCTGTAGGCCGGCTTCTCTTCGAGTGTACTTCAGTTCGCAGGAGTCTGAGCGGGTATTTTCCTACCCTTCCATGATTAAATGGGGCTATCGTCGATGGATCTTAAGCGAGGCCCCAGAAGGATCCCGTCATGCACCGGGTAGCATCCTCGGCACTCTGCAAGACTGCACAAGAGGCTCGAGGCATGCCAAGAGTTACTTCGCCCTGGCCTGCCCAGGCAGCATCCAACCCTACACTGAGCAGGTCGAGTCTTCGCTTCAGGATCTGATCCACAAAGGAAGCTTTCGAAGTGCCAGGCCGGCAACAGCAGTGGCAACGGGGCCGATGGGCCCTTCCGCGAACAAGGGCGGTTCTGCGCAGGAAGCAAGATCAAAGGCTGGCTTCGGCCTGCTTAGCCTGCCTTGCTCCTCTCCTTCTCGAAGGACCGCCGCGGTCGCAGTGCGTCCCCTCCCAGAGAGCGGCTTCCGCGCCGAGCCTGTCCCTTAAAAGCTGCGGGATCTGCCGACACCCCTGGCCATGCGTTGCGCGCACCGCGCTCCCAAGGTGCGTCCAGGAGAGCTGAATCACCGATCCTGAGAGCCCGACAGCCCTGCTTAAAGCAGGGCAGAGCTTCCGGGAAGCCCGCACGCGCGCGGGGGCCTTCTCCCAGATCGCATCAAAAGGGCAGAAGCGCTGAGCAATGTAGACCCCGAAGATACCATGACCACGACGGCCGTGACCACGGCTAATTACCAGGACGAGCGCTTGTGTGACTCAGGAGCCTTCGCCTGCTGCCGATCGCGGCTCCCATGAACCAATAGATTCTGACTTCACCGTAGGCCGACCAGGATGCTTTTCGGCAGTTGTTGCAAGGCAGCTACGAAGTGGAATCACTCTAGCATGTCTCGCTGCCTGAACTGGAATGTCCAAGGAGTGGCAGGCGGCTCTTATATTTTATATTCAACTTGTAAACTCATTTCTGAATGTCGTCATGTACACTTGGCAGAAGTTGCCTAGAGGTTTCGACAGGGCAACAGACCTGCCCAGCTCTGCAGAGGTTAAGGTTCAGGGTCTTCAGGGCCGTCAGAGCAGTCTTGACAAGACCGGGCCAACTTTGGAACTTGAAGCACGAAGGAAGACTCTGCAACAACTAAGAACTCGACGAACGCAACGAAGTCTGCGGCCACGCACGTTGCTATGGCTCGTGCTCGGCCCTCCCTTCGTGGCACTGTGCTGGCAGTGCTTGGCCTGCGCCTGTGCTTCTCCGAAGCCAGCGCTACGGAACAGGCGGACAGAATCAGCACAGGCATAGTTCTAGTGCAACAGTACGACCTTTCAGGAACAATACGACTTGCATGACGGCTACTGATGTTTGTTGCAGGTTCCCTTGGGATGCTTCCTTTACGGCTGGAAGCATGCGGCCAAGTGGTGAGCAGCAGTTTAAACACGCTCGCTTTGACGCGGCCGCTCGCAGGGTCGCCGAGGCGCTCAGCGGCATCTCAAACCCTGTATGCTCACCCAGATTCTGTGAGGCTTTTCTCCCCCCCCCCACACGATTCCTCTCTGTGTGGCTGAGGTGAATGCCTCAGATGCGGTGGAGTGCCAGAAGCAATGTGCGGCGGCTTGGCGGCTTCAAGCTTGCGTCAATGAGGTGGTGCTGTTGCGATCTTCTCCTTCCTTCCTTCCTTCCTTCCTTCCTTCCTTCCATCCTTCCTTCCTTCCTTCAATCTTGCAATCAATCAAACGTCCAATCATTCAATCACTCATTCACCGTGCACGCTGAGTCGCTCAGTCATTCGATCACCGACGGATTCCGTCACTGACTCATTTACTCATTCATTCATTCATTCATTCATTCATTCATTCATTCATTCATTCATTCATTCGTCCAGTCCTGCATGCATGCATTCATTCATGTAGTCACTCTTCATTCGTTCATTCATTCAATCACTTTCTTGATTCGTTCAGAAGTCAGAAGTGTGTATATACATATATTGTAGAGGCTGCGCCTCGGAGTCAGTTGCAGGGATCGCGTGCTTCAGCCCTACTCGTCATCCTCCCACCCCCTCACGCCCCCAGGACCCACCGCTTTTGTGATACCGATGCCAACTCTCAAACACGCACAACATCGCCCGGCACGCCGGGGTCTCCCGCGTTTGCTGATATTCAACTGATGTATGTGTATATGTCTATATGTATCTGTATATATACATATATATATATATATATATCTATGTACACATCTTCCGGGTGAGGTCTTGCAAACAGTTTGCAGCTGCAGGCCACCGACGAATGCAAGTCCTTTGGTTTCCAGACATCTTTCAATGCCGCTTGCTGAGTGGGACTGAAACAGTGGCTTCCAAAGATAAGGCAGAGTCAGCATCACAGCACGTTAACGAGCTGCGCGGCGGAGAAGCTTGCAGGCTTGTTGGCTGGGATCGGACATTCAGACTCCAAGCCGGGCACTGTCAAACGGGTCACCCATGCCTGTTTCGAAGTGCAGAGAGTGAGTGCTTTGGATGCAAACCTGGTGGCAGCTTCGTGGCTGGGCCGGCCAGATGCGTTGCCGCGCTCCCCAAAAAAGTCGACCCGCAGATACAAAGCTCCCTGGTATTCTCCATTCGTTTCAAGGCGGAAAGAAGATTCCTGAGTGGCTTGGAGGCTCGCTCTTCACAGACAGCAGGAACAGTCTGGGGGTGCGGCTTATGCTGAGGCCAGCCCCGCCTGCACTGCATCGCCAAGCATTCGCTTTCCCGGCCGCTCAACCAGCAGTCAATCAAGCCAACCGTTTTACGAATGAGGCTATTTTGTTGCAGTGTTGGTGTTGAGGAGTTGTTCATTGCACTTGAGAGGTCGGACGGCCGGAGAGTCGGCATCCACTTTCACCTCGGGCATGGCCGTGGCCCTCAATGTGCAGGTCTTTCAGTCCACTCCCCTCGGCAGCTGAGGTCCCTGTGCCCCTGCAATGTTGGCCGCACTACGCAGCAGCCCTCCCTACGAGACTTGAGCTCCTTGTCTCGCTCTTTCGTTCGCTTTTGCGTGCCAGACGGGGAAGCCGGCCTTGTGCAAGGGCTCCCTGATGCAGGTCCTGGAGGAGCCAGAAAGAAAGAGAGCGCGGGAGAGATTCGACACATCCCCCAAGCCCCGGAGAAGAAGAGACGCGGGAGACGCCTCAGACGCCGGCGGGGAGTCGACCTGGTTTCATGACGATTGTGTCGAGGGCAGCAAGGGAGACGCCTGTGGCGGGGTTTAGTTTAGCCATAGTCGTCAGGCGCGTTCGGGGTGACAGGTCCCAGAGGTTGTGGGTGAGCTGGTCACGGAAGCCTTGCAGTCCAACGTGAAGAACGACTCAGTTCTAACTAACGCACCCCCGTGCTGGGCGAATGCGCGCGCGGGGACTCACTCGATGAATTTGAACATTGCCTCGGTAGTCCTTGGCTTTTCATGCTTTTGCACAACTTCCGACCCTTTGACATGTGCCTTCACTTTCTGGCATGCTCTTGTTTGGCCCAAGCAATTTTGTTTAGGAAGTGTTAAGCTGGAGATTCCATCTCCTGTGCAGAGCTTCATCGATAGAAAATGATTGCGAGGCCAATTTGGTGGCTGCCTATGGTGATCACCAGTTTGGCGGCTGCCTATTGTGATCACACCAACAAGGTCGACTGCCTCACTGACAAGACTGGGAGCCTTTGGCACATTTGCAATTGGTGCAATTCTGCACCATTTGGTCAGCAGTGCCAAGAGGTTTACAACGACGACTCTGGCCATTGCCCAGCCGGGGCAAGCGATTGCGAGACGTGTCGATCTGCAGTCACAAACTGCATGTACGATGCTGATTGCTCTTTTGCCCATCCCAGCATCAATGCCTCATCAGTGGTCAGCATTTGAGAGTGTGAGACCTGCAGCAGTTTCTGCTGCTCGATTGGAGAACTTTGCAAAATGAGGAGTGAAGATTATGTACCGACTGCGCGGTGCTGCCGGACAAAAGGAAAATGGTATGTCTATTTATGAAGCTTGATAAGCTTTATTGGATTTTGAAAATAGATGTTCCCACAGTGGCCCAGCACCCTTGGCTTGGCTTGATATGTTGAATTATGGTTTCCAGCAGCTGCTGTGACCGCAGGATTCTGCCACGGGTTGGCCGGGAAACTGTCCGGAACTGGGAGCAGAGTCTTCAGAAGCCGAGCCTCTTGGAAGTGAGCCTCGCGGACCGGAGGTCTAGGCTTGCATTTCATGCCGGACGAGACGCCCGGAGCCCCAGAACCCAGTGGAATTCGTCGTCGTCAACCCCTGCAACGCATGGCCCCCCTGATGGCCCTGGGAGGTCAGAAACTTGTGAGATGCCACTCCCTCGGAGATGAGCCATGTCTGTGCTGTGCTTTGCTGTGCGCTCTTGAAGGAGTTGTCGCGGCAATGTCAGCTGTTCAACATTCCAAGTCGTCGAAACCGATGCCGGGATGCGGGCCCCTTAGCCCCTTTAGCCCTGAGGCCCTGAGGCACACTGCATTCCTCCTGTACTCGGCATTGACTGAGGATGGAATGCTGGCAGGGCACAGGCTACGACTGTTTCCGAGACAATGTGCAGGCCAGAATGTAGCAGAGTAATCTGGTCGGCCTTGTACGCCCTTGGACCGACGACTGCCCGTGTCTTCTCTTCGGCATGAGTTCGTCTAATGAGGTGAAAATCCTGGCTGCAAAACGCTTTCTGCGTGGTCGGTATCGCGTGGCTTGGCCAGCAGGAATGCAGCCCAGCCTTGTCAGGGAAAAGCCCAGCAAGGCTGTGTCATGCACTGGCTCTTCAGGTTCTGAAGGACTTGCGCGGCTTTGAGGCAGAACCAGTACGAGGCAAGCTGCTAGTTTTCCGACACCACCCACTGCAGGTGACAGGGTTGCAGTACTCCTTCGGCAAGGAAGCCTTTGGATCGGATGTGGAACAGGCCCCGCGATTTTTCAGCTTTTCCCGCTTGCATGCCGATTTCTGACCCAGGCTGTCATGATGTGCCGGGAGCCTACGTCACTGGCATGTTATGACGCACTTTGTCGCACTGTGGCTCAGGCAATCACACCTGCTTGTCTCTTGTGACGTGTCAAGCCTGGAGATATTCCACGGGGGACCAGCTTGCCGGCCACATGCCGCAAGTTACTCACCTTGCTAGCCTTTACCAATGCGCAGGATGGATGCTGGTTTGATCACGGTGAGCTTGTTTATCCGTCGGAAGCCCTGGTCTAGAAACATCGAGATCGCAGTGGAGGTGCTTCGGACCCTCAGATCCTTCGTTCAACATGAGGCCAACCACTGATACCTTCATGAAGGGCACGGAAGCAGCAGCACTGGCTTCTTCCTCTGCGCGACTTCTGGTGAACATGTGAGTTTACGACTTTGCCTGCAGCTACTTACGTTTAGGTTGTGGCCGGGGCCTATGTCCAGCGGCTGTGCGAGGTTCCGCAGGAGAGTATCTCAAACAGACTTTGTCGAAGTTCCGGGAATCTTGCGCTCCGCAGGATCTGCACGAGCCTGTGGTGTCGACGTCGGCCGCCATCGCCATCGCCATCCTCCCGACTCCAGAGGTTTGGGGGATTACTTCTCTCACTCCCCCAATGCCCAAAACAAGTACACCTCAAGCAGAGATGGGGCGAATCCGAGGCCCTCAGCCTCTCCACGCCGCTGCCGCTGCCTGCAGCCGTTGCCATCAATGGAAGCGCTGGCACCCTCCCTCCGGCCATGGCCTAAAGAATTGAATCGAGCTCCGCGGGCTTCTCGGCTTCTGTGTGCCGGAAGAGACGCATCTCAGGTGCTGCCACTGCCCGCTGTGGCGATCAATGTGACCGCTGCGAGCGCTGCCACCGCTCCGCCAGACTCCCTCCTCGTCCCGGGCGTCTCGGGTGTCTCGGGCGTCTCGTGGACGGTGTCCACGACGCCGCCTTCCACATCTTCCACGACCGCGGCGAACGCCTCCGATGCCTCCTTCCTCCCGGCGGTCACGGTCAGCCATGTAAGCGCGAGAGCGAGTGCGAGAGCGAGCTCGAGCCGCCAGAGCTCCCAGGCGCCTCTCCCAAACGCAAACTAACACCCTTGACACACAAAAGCGAACGTCGTCCCGTCGCAACAGGACACGGCGGAGCCGAAGGAGCCGTTTCCCGGCACCTTCCTGCGGGTTCTCTCGTCAGGACAGAGGGGGACGCATCGGGGTGAGCACCATTCGCTCGCGCGCGCGCGCGCGCGGATGGGTTCCGCGAGGCTTGGTCTTCTACAAGAGTGACCGGCGCTTACCCGGTATACTTGTTGTATCCTTGTTCACATGCTTCTCGCATGCGTAAGTGGTGCCACGGCCAGGAGGATGACGTGCCGGACACTCACGGCATGCTGTAACGAAGCTGAAGCGGCTGCAAAATGCCCCTGAGGCTGCATATGGTTCCCTCTGGATGCAAAGAGCTATCCTGCCTGGAGCTTAGCCACGAGGGCAAACAGACGCTGAAGTGCAGCGCTGTCTCTGCAAGAAGCTGACAGAAGCCACCTCGAAGGCGGCGAGAGCGTCCTCGATCAGTGCCGTGCAGCTGCCTCTGTCTCCGAGGCAAGGCTCGTGACTGCGGCTTGTCCTCGCTTGCCGCCCTTGCACCGCTCCAGGAAGAGGTGATCAGCGACAGCACGGGCCAGGCTTGGCCAAAGAACAAAGTCTCTCGATGTCTGCCGAGCTTCCCCTGGAGCTCGTTACTGTAGCACGCAACCTGCTGCGAGGAATTCTCTTGTGCGCTTCTGACAGCAGAGAGCTCAAGCACTGTGCATCGTGCAGCATACTTCGCCTCACATTGAGAGTCCCTTGAGGCTTCTGGTCCGAGTCTCGAGTCACAGTTCCCCCGATGCGACGCGCAGCGCTGCACGCAAGCTCCGCAAGCTCAGCCTCAGGTGGGTCGAACTGGTGGGCCGGAGCCTTGCATGGGGACTGGAAGAGAGGCCAAGCCTTGGCATTCAGAGACACCAAGGTCCTGCTGATATTTGCCGCAGTCCTCGCCCTCTGCTGCAAGAGCCCCAGGAGTCGTCGCAAATTGTATGGAAGGCGGAAGGCGGAAGACCCCACAGGTTCTCATGAGCTTGATAATTTGGTTCTTGGCGCATCGGCACTGTTGCGATGTTATGACATCACGACACACGCGGGGTAAACTACGAAGTCCTCAACGATGGTTCAAACAATTTCGGCCGTCAGCGCTCTCTATTGGCAATGGCACGATTGTCCCATCTGATCACTGTTTCAATGAGTCGTGCAGAGGTCATTCACAACAGTGCGTAGGTTGGCATCCACCAGAAAGCCTGAAGCATAGGTTGGGCCTGCAACCACGCCTCCTGGTACTACTACGACGAGATTGACGAAGTCTCAGTCGCGCTGGTTGAGATATGGAGCTGAAGCGTATGAGTAGGGGAGCCAAATCCATGCAGCATGTGCTTCGCCTCGCCGGCAAGACTGCTGCGAGTGCCCTGAATCATCCGACGTTGAGCCTGCCAGGATCTCCTGCCCCATTGTGCACCACTGCTTCTGCTGCTGCTTTCACACAACAACCGTCCAGGGCACTGCTTTGTAATTTTAGCCGCTCGCCCGTCACATTTAGAAGCCGTCATCGTGGCTGAGGTGGACCGGTGCCCCGAGCTGGATGGATACTTGCCACGGACCTACGTGGACTTTTCAAAGCCACATAGCAATCCCATGGCAACAGCCTGTGGCTGGATGGACGCCAGTGAGCCTTCTGGGGTTCATGGGGAAGAGCAGCGCGCCTTTTATGCGCGTGACCGTGCGGTCGGCTCAGGCCCTTTCAGTGGTGCTTCGCTGCTCGCAACCGCTTCTCCAAGCTGCAGGCAAGGTCCTGGTCGGATGGGCGTGTGGCGGTGTGTGTGGGTGGGTATGTGCGTGTGTTTGTGGTGGGTGGTGCGCACTCCTAGGTGGGGCTGCGTGATCGGACCTCGAGATCCGCGGGAGTGTCAGCCGCAGGTGCCACAACAGCTCGGTCTGCTTATAGCGTTCTTTTGGAGGTACGATCCGGAAGACCAGGTGCCCTGGGCTGCAGGGAGGTTTACCGCTCCTATGTTTGGCTTTGCGTCTCAGTCTCGTCAACTTTTTTGTTCGTGGCCAGCTCCCCCTCATGGCGCGTGGAGCACCTGGGGCTGGGTGGTCTGGCCCGCCAGCGCCGCCCGGGCAGCGAACTCGGCGCTGGCGTGGTGCTCACAAGTGACCTCTGACACTGACACAAGCGAGGTACGTGCTTGCAAATGCACAGTCGCTGCCAACCCAGCAGATGATGGGATCAATGGGGGGCCCAATGGCAGCCTACGACCCTGGCATGCCCTCTGGATTTTCCTCGCCCGGAGCCCCGGAAACAGGAAGAAGACCTGTCGAAGTCTTCTCTGTGAGCTTCGGCCAGGTCATATCAGGCTTCTCCCGGCCTGGGTCCCTACATGGAAGCTCCTCTGCCTCGGACGGCCGGATGCTCGAAGATCTGTTCTCACAGATGCGCCGAAGTGCGGTCTTAGTTGCAAACGAAGGAAGCTGGATATGATCTGGTGACCGTGACGCCGAGTGGATTGCAGGCTGGTCCTCGCCAATCCGCGTGCAGTCTGCGGATGTCTGACAGTTCTGAGGTGACCCCGCTGGGCAACGCGCCTTTGCCTGCCGGAGTTCGGCCCTCCGAGTCTCATGAGTCGCATTCGCCTCAGTTCGCGCCTGCGGAGGTTCCGATCGTGAATCCGGCGCACGTCTCCACGCACCAGTTTACTTGAGACAAGAGCTGCGACAGGGTTGCCGTGGGCCGAGCTCCAAAGCCAGAGCGATCTTGCCACGCGGTTTTCACCTTTGCAAGCCTGACGAGACGAGAACATGTATGCAGCATCTTCATTCCGTGCATCTGGTATGAGGAACACATTGCACACAGAGGTACATATTTGTGACCCCAGTTGCAACTCAGACTCGTGACCTTGGCCAAAGATGCGAGGTCTTGCAAAGGGTTCAATCGCTTTGGACACGACTAGCGCCGAAATGCTGGAAACAGGTTTCGACATTTCGGATTTTTTGGCTGCTTGATACCTTCCTCGCGAAACGTTGCATATTGTGTGCGGCAGTTGCATTATCATCGCATCACCGTCCTTTTCCATGGTCACGTGCATGACAAGTGCCTCTTGGCTCCACCTCCCTTGCCTTTTTCTGACTTGCCGCGATGGCTGCCGCAGTGGAGGCGCGGGAGCTGCATGGGGTGCCCGATCACTTCTGTCT